GACTACTGTTTATGCTGGCATACGTTGAAGTTGATATGTTTATGCTAGACAGCACGGCCGTGGTCCACGGGCTCTCAATGCACCGTAGCAGTTGGGGGAGTCGTTACTGCAACCTATGTACGACAGTACGTTATTGCGCTGAGAGCAACCCACGCGGACTTTGTGTTGCAGAGTAATTTATCATGTTTTATCTTTCTCGAAAAATCACGAGAGCAGAAATCTAAACTTTTGTGCTAGACTTTGTTCCTTTAAGTACGAATACAAGTGGCCTCTCATTTCTAAACGGGAGAAAACGGGAGAAAGCAACGTCGCAGTAGCACTGGCAAGGATGACGACGCCGGACGTGCAGACACAGGGAGGGAGCGCCGCCACAGACGAAGGAAAAGGTAAAAGCCTACATTGTGTAGATCGTGTCAGCTGAGCCTGAATGCTGCGTATCTATGCAGGGCGCCGCGCTGGTTTGCGAGACCAAAAGCCAGTCGACTACATTCGTGCAGCTCAAGGGTTCACAAAGGACTCTAATGACGACGACGATTACGTCGATGACCCGATGGACACGTTAGCAGACGCTGCCACCGAAGATGCAGACATGCAGGAACTGGTGGAGGAGAACGACGGTATAGCAGCCAATGCTGCCGCTAAAGTTGCACCGGCAAACGTGTCGACCAATGTTGCTGCATCTGACCCCGCTATAGTTGCTACCTCTGGGAAAGTTGCAGCAAAAGACCCCGCTAAAGTTGCGCCAACAGTTAACACGGTCGCCAAAGCAGCAGAGCCAGCCGGCACCACAGATCTTACCGAAGAAGAAGCTGAAGTTAACCAGGAAGACGTAGAAGACGCAGACGGCCAAGAAGGCAACGAAAGTAACGTTGCTGACGGCAACACTTCTTTGGCGCGCGCGAGTGTTGCTCGAACGACAGCAGGTCATGGTATGTTGCTTGCTGTGTTGCTACATAATGTTGCTTGCTATGTTGCTTTATTTTGCTGTGTGTTACGTTGCTGTGAAATGTTTCTAACTATTGCCTATATCGTTCTATGAATTAAAGGTGTGCCAAAGACTAACCAAAAACGAAAAAGATCTTACGCACAGAATGAAGAAACGGACGTCGACGATGATGATGACGTCAGGACAACTAGTCCAGTGTCCAAACACGCTAAGATGTCATCTTCGGCGGAAAGACGCTTACCTCGGCGGAAGACTAAGACCTTCGAGGATCGTGCGAAGATGCTCAAATCGCACAAACCTATAGACAATTTTGTGCCCGAACTACCTGTGAAGACGTTTCACAGTTGGGATGAATTCCACACATTACTACAGAGCTACGAAGAAGACAATTTCTTGCGCTTCCGTGTACGAAGTTCTGAAACTAGGGCGAAACACAACAGGTACTGTGGGTAAGATTGGTGGTTTGACTCAATATTCTAACGCTTAAATTTTATGTTGTTTCTTGTGTTGCTTTTGATTTTGCTTAGCCGTCCTGGTGCAGTTCAAATTCCTGAGCATTTATCGCATAGTTTTAAGAGGATGCGGTGCACGCACGGTGTGATGCAAGCTTCACGTGGGGAAGGGCGGCGAGATCATGGCTGGAGATACACTGGGTGTGACGCAAGCTTCACGATTCGTTCAAGAAACGCTGTGAAGAATGGAGTCGCTAGGTGGGAAGTGGCCGTTGAACTTGAATCGGAAGTAAGTAAACTTACCAGTATTTGTTGTGTGTACACTAACGGTTGATATTGTTATAAATTTATCTAGATCTCAAAGCACAACCACAAAACCAGCAAGACTATCTACGATTCGTACCGAGGGGCCAAGTCGATGCCTCTACCGTCAAAGGTTCGCGAAGACCTCGGTCTTTTGACAGACATGAAGGCCAGCACTGCTGATATCAACCGATACCTTTCAGATAAACTTGGTGGGTGCTTTTGGTGAACGTTACGATGCTGTTTCAGTCTAAGTTTTCTTTGTTTCATTTTTTGAAATTGATATTAACGTAATTGTTGAAATGTTTGCTTTTTAAGACATGGTGTTGACTACACAGCAAACTAGAAACATATTGCAAGAAGTACTGGGGTCTACAACAGTGGAGAGGACCAGAGTGCTACTGGATACATTTGTGGAGGAGGACAACAACGATGTTCTTCGTGTACAAGATCAGATGGGCATAACGTGTGTCATTGCTATGCAGACATCGCTTCAAAAGAAATGTTTCGAGCAGTGGGGCGACAGTTTGGTAATGGATTGGACGCACGGTACCAACAACTTGGGTTATCATTTGGGTAAGTCTGACACATTAAATTTGGTTATTCATTTCTTCAAGCAACGACTAACAGTGAATACTTTGTTTTCTTTGAACACAGGCAGTTTGGTGGTTACGTCAGCTACTGGAAGAGGAATCTTAATTATTGATTTTCTTGCTCTGGATCAAAAATTTGCCACAATGGAGTACATTGTCGAATTTTTCAAGCGACACAACCCGTCTTGGAAAAGCATCAGGACAATTGTTATCGATAAAGACTTTGTGGAATGGCGTGTGCTTGAAAAGGCGTTCCCTCACGCCAAAGTACTTCTGTGTCAGTTCCATGCGCTCACGTATTGGAGGAAGGTTTGCAGAAGACCGAAGTTTAACCTGAATATGGTGCAGCGGGACACCATGGAAGCTGCGTTCGCAAAGCTGATCTACTGGTACGGACAGCTCAATTGATTGCTGTGTTGCATGTTGTGTTGCATGTTGTGTTGCTCACTGTGTTGCTTCTTATGTTACGGATTTACTGTGTTGCTGCTTGTGTTGTGGATTATGGTGCTCTGGCTAATAATTTGACACACCATTAGCACAAGCCAGAGGAGTTTTGATTTGGAGCTGGCAACGTTTACAAAAGTCTCCAAGAAAGAGTGCCCCGAGTTACTCGAATACTTCTCGGTAAATTGGATGACGTGCGTTTCAATGTGGGCAAATCACGTTCGAAGTAAGTACTTCTCAGCTGGTAATACCACTACCAATCGGATTGAATCCAATTGGAACCAGATAAAATTGCTTCTCGGCAAAAGGCCTCGACTCGACGCGACAATAAGTGGTCTCCTCGCACATCAGGGGACAATCGTTCGGCAGGTTCTCGCTACAATGGGAAAGCATGCAACTTCTTCTCGGCGACCTGGAACTGTTCCAGACTTCCTAAGCATTGTCTCCAAGCACTTAAGTGATCGTGCAATGGCAAAAGTACGTTCCCAATGGGATTTCTTCATGGTATATTCGACGGACGTGACATGCACTAAGGTAAAAGGTGGGGTTGGTATGTGGAACGTGGGTATCGATGGATGCACGTACCAATGTAACGATTTTGAGTGGACTTGTTCGTGCTTATTCTACTGCAGTCACAACCTACCGTGCCAGCACTTGATGTATATTGCTGAGCACGTTCATCAATTCGAGTGCCTACCTGCTATGGCTATTCACGCACGCTGGGATATGATGGCGATGGTGGAGTTGGAGAAGGATTTCAGAGATGGGTTGTCATCGCTTCGTACGGTGGAGACCTCCATGAAAGTAGCCAACGCCGCTTATGAGCTCGACGGCTTGACTCAGGTTACGGACTCAGCGAACGCGGTCAAAGCAACACGTGATGCAGTCGAAGAATTCGAAGCAACACATGATTTTCAAGCAACTCAACAAGCAACCCAAGGAGCAACCCAAGGAGCAACACGAGAAAAACACGAGAAAAATGGCAGAGATAAGTGTGGAACCCAGCGTCAGCCTAAACGCCGTGTCGTGTACGTGAAGATGCGGCGTCGAGAGCGAGCCAACGTTGTTGTACTGTCATCAGAAGAGAAATACTGTTTCGCAAAAGCTGTGTTTGAACCTGTGATGGAGCATCTAGCGGAATTGTCTAGCCCAGCGTTCTACTCTGCTCTGAAGGCTTGGAAAAACGTAGTTAACAGATGGCTACACGAAGTTGGACCGGTCGATGCACACACGTCAGAGGCTACAACAGCACCAGAAGACGGGTCAGGAGAAGACTCAGATGCTATTGACGCTCCGCTTGACATAGCACCAGCCGACCTCATTGATACTATGAACTTTACCCGTGAAATGGAGCAAAGTGAATTCGATCCGCATAGAGAGGCTACCGTGACCGCATCATCACATGAAACTGAACAGGTTAGATCAACCTCAGGGAAAGAAACAGCTCTATTCAGCGACAGTGGCTCTATCAAATGTAAAGACCCGGCCGTTAATTCGGCGAAAGCTGCAGTAAAGTCGACCAAGAAAGGAGCAACACACACTACAACACAAGGAGGTCGACTCGAAGTGCTACGCATTCCAAAGCCCAAACCACGGTGCAACCAGCGCAAGAAACTTAAGCAAGCCCGATTGGAGAAACGCACAAAGCCTGACAAGCTTGCGGTTATTACGTTCCCGGAGAAAAACGTGCCATCCTTGTCACGCGTTATCGTGTGGGCAACAAACACTATAGACCGGCACCGCGTCAGCGAGATCTTGGCAAGTTACCCTACTATCATGGACGACGATTTCATGAACACGCGTGTTGCTGAAAGCTGTCGCTCGGCTGTGTCTACCGAGGAATTTGATTACAATTTTGTGATTCCCAAATCTCTGGTCATCAAGCTAAAAGCAGTCATTCAAGCAGAACGGAATAAACGGCCAAAGTCAAAGTACTTCAACACAGAAGGCGAGGATACGGACAGCAACAATGAAGCAATCGTGGCATATTTTCCTGGTGTGACGCCAAGATTTACAAGGTATGTAATAACTGTGTTGCTCATTGTGTTGCTGCGTGTATTGACCCTTGACTTGCTTCTACAATGTTGCTTGTTGTGTTGCTGTAACAAATTTCTTTACAACAGTGAAGCCGTCTTCAAAATGGCAGAGTTTTACAACGTGGTAAAAAAAATGTAGCGCCTGGAGAGCAGACATGGAATGGCTGCAAACGACCAAGTGGAGCGAAATCTCCGCAAACCCTGAGCTGTTCAAAGTGGAGACAGATTCTGATGATTTATATTTAACGTCAGCGGGAGGTAAACATCAGGAACTGGCAAACGAAGTGATGGAACAGCTCGAGGGTGCATGTTTGAATTCTACTTTCCGATTATCAAGTGGAGAGGGCACAGTTAAAGTTGACACGCTCGTTGGAATGCTTGCGCGAGACAGGATGCTTTCTGATGTCATTATCAATTTCAGTGTTCGATGTATTTGCGAAGCTCTGGGGGATTGCTACACATTGGATTCATTTTCTCCAACAATGGGTTGCCCGAAACCACCACAGACGCGGATTTCAACCTTCCATTATCTTGTGTTGCCGCTGCATCTAAGCAACATTCATTGGGGTGTTGTCGTCGTCGCCATAGCTTACAAAAGAGATGTTCCGTGCTTCACGCCTTACTACTACGAGCCGATGTGCGGATCTTCGTATAGCGATGCAATGGAATTGGCGTACACATCGACGGTATTACCGTTTTTGAAAATGTGGCACGACCAAACCATGCCACATGAAGATTATCCGGTGGAGAGCAGCAAAATTTGGATAAAGTCGCCGAAGCAGCCGGATGGAACGTCGTGCGGTGTATTGACAATCGCCCAAATTTATTCTCTGCTGAAGGACAGCCTCCAGTTTTCACAAGGTTGCGTTACGAAGGAAGATATTTCGGTTATGCGGCTACGTATCATGTGGATGATAGTTATGCAGCCAGAAGTTAGCACTGTAGCAAATCAAGTTGCTAAGGAGATAGAGGCAACTGATATAGAGCTACTTTCGACAATAAAAAGATAACACGAACAATTGCATTCGAAAATTTGCACGATTATTTTTTAGTCGCTACCTGTTCTCTTCCTCTTCGAGCGAAGATTACCTTCACTTGACTTAATTGTGCTCTAATAGAGCTTCGCAGCACTGTTCGAGAGCCACTGAGAACGACATCACGTAGCCTCTTCCATGCGTAGGGACCCCAGCGGCGGCGGCAAGGCGGATAGCCTGTTCCTTCTCGTAAGCCATCATTAGAGCTAACTCGTCTCGTTCATTCATAAGCTTTAGTGAGTACTTAGAGATTTTCTCCAACTTTTCTTCTATCGAATTGATAGCTTGGAGGCGAGACTGCAGCAGCTGCTTGCACACGGTAGTCTTACGCGTGTGCGAGGCAGTGGAGCTTTCATAGCCTGGTGGCGGCAGCGTCGGAGAGGGTAGCGCCGACGGCAGTTCGTGGGAGAAAGCGCCGCCGAAGTAGTTGTCGTTGTCTTGGTCCATTTGCGCGTTCGCCAACAGCCGCTTTTTCTGTTAGGCTACTGTGATATTTGTCGAATGACATGAGGAACTTTTACCGACGGTTAAATTACCGTTTAGGTCAGGTAATTTAACGGTCGGAAAAAGAATGACTAGGAATAAATTATGTCATGTGTTGCTTCTGGGGGTTGCTTCTTGTGTTAGGATGGCTCGTAGGTTGCAGCAAGACCTGTCGTACTGTCGTTCATAGGTTGCAGTAACGGGACTCAGTAAACGGAGTGGTTCCACTGGAATCGTTCCAGCAACCTTAAGCTGAGGGAGGGGGTGAATCCTAAAATCTTGGTAGCACCGAAGCAATGCAAGATTAATATTCGAAGCACTGAGTCATGATCACATTTAGACGCTTTTATTCCTCTGCTAACGTTCTCTGTGTTTCCGCGGTGAGGCTTTGGCGATAGTTGTCCTACCAGCAAGTTAATTCTTGAATATATGAAGACTCATGACACCCGTCCTCCGACACGGTTTGGTGTTTAGTCTCAGGGATTTTGGGTTACGCTAATTTGACTAAGCTTGCTTTGGGGTCGCTTTAAGGTGTAATGTTGCGTTGGTGTGTAGACTGTTGTAGCACCATTCGACAGTAAAAGCCTGGTCTGTAACATAAAACAGTAGAGCTATCATGAATGCTATTAGTATTATTGTGCCTTTCTTCTGTTTTGGCAGAACGGGTCCAAAAACGTCACTTCTTTAGATAGGGCTAGGTTAATAGTTCAATTTGTGCAGAATAATGAAGCCAATTTATACAGCAAATTATGCCGGTAGTATGAATTTCGTCCAATCACAGAGCACTCGCTGCTCAAACGCTGGATCCAAAGATACGCAAACATGGCATTTTGAGAAGACCCGCTGGCTGTCCTGAATGGTGCGATGTACAAATGCACAAGGCAAAATGAAGAGGTTGGTGAAAATCTTTATAGCCGTTGTGGATACAAACCGAATCAATTGTCCATTAGCAATTATCGAATAGATTCTCCTTTTCTAATGCTCCATCCACTGTGAGGTCTCGTCGTTATGGTCTAGATCTTCAATGTTGTTTGCAGGTGTAGTAATGTCAATATCTGTCGGCGACCTAAATGGAGGTCGCAATCTGTAATTGGGTAGGCCAAGAGCTCTCCGAAGATCGCTGATATTTACCTGCAAAGGTAAGGCAACGCCGTGTGAGCTTTTCTCGCACGATAGGGTACTCCTCCTCACACTGCTGCTGTGTCTCGCTCAGGGATTGATCCATCGCTGCTTGCTGAATGTCTATGTGTTGTAGCTGCCGGAACGTGACGTTATCTGGAATGACCATTGGTGCTTCGTCCGGTAGGAGCGCTTGAGTGACAGCCATATAGCGGTGTGAAGCAGGTCCAGCTTTAACTTGCTGCTCTCTAAGAAACGCTGCTACCCTTGGTAGCTGTTCCTGAATGCGAGCCGCACTTGCACGACGTAGTGTTGTTTGTGCTTCAGACTTCGGTACATAGATGAATAATTCCAACTCGAACGCTGGTTGTCCATTATGTCGTAGTCTTGCTCGATCCCAAATTTTCTGCAATTGAGATTGTAGGGCCGTACGCTCTTGGCAAATGACTTCAAACTACTTTTGTTTTGCGTTGTTGCTGGGCTTCACGTAGATGTCGAATTCTGTTCTCCATTGCCCTGGTAGCTTGCTAGAAAAGTGCTTTTCCACCTTTGCACTAAGCACACGATAATCTTCAGCAACCTTGTAGGCAAACGGTGGTGACGCGGGAGGGGATTTGTCGCGGCAGCCTTGCAGCGGTTCCCCGGTTTTAACCGTCAGTCGGCAATATAGCACGTCAGGAAGAGGAGCTCCATGTCGAATGCCACACTTAATTTCAAGAGAGTTCGATTGAAAATGTTAGTACTATCGAAATACGTGTCTCTTACCTGCCATATACTGTAGCTCTTCCGCTGAACCTCCATTCCGCGAGCCACATGTCCTCATCAAGCTTATGCTTTTGCTCTCTATCCGCGGAGCTGCTGTACTGCTGTTAAGCTGTACAGAAGTACTGACCATGTACTGCACCCTCTCACTGCCACAGCATGATGATTCTGTATGGTACAAGAATTCACAGTAATAGTTATTCGCTCTGTTCAGATACATATGTAGCTCCTTTGTAGCAGCAAGATCACTCTCGTCAGGCTGCCCTTTAGCTCTCCGACCAGCTTTACATTCTCGTCTTGACCTGTACTCGACCCACCAGCACACTATCACACCAAATATAACCAGCGGGAGGAATTGAACCTCCCTCTCCCTTGAGCTACGCTGGTGCAGGATGGTGCGCGTACAGTGTGCTGGTCTCTTGGGCTTCGGCGAGAATCGGATTGTGAGCCAACTGTCAGCCACGTGTTTGATATCGTGTATTTTTATCCAATCAAAACATCGAAGATTATGGCCTGCATTTATGGGAAATGCCTACTAATAAGAAAATCCTCTTAAGATTTGTAGTACTTTGGGAAGTATCTCCGACGTTGCTACAATTGGCCAGAAAGGCACAATAACGTTATTCTAATAACAATACTAAAATACATGCACAGTATCTAGACTTCCATGCTCAACACTGGGGCAATCGCCACATAGCGCTCTCTCCTTCTGTAGTGTGTCTAACTGTAGTTGCCCGCCATGCAAGTAACTCCAAGTAAGCTTTACATTGCGTTATGAATATTATGTAACA